CGTAACAAAACAAAACAAAACACGCAGGCGCAACGAAGAAATATGCCGGTGTGTATTTTATTGCACGTCTACACACACACACACACAGAGAGAGAGAGAGAGAGAGAGAGACACGCGTATTAATTTTTATATATAAGCCCCGCTGTTTATTCCCGGCTTGCTTTATATGTAGCAGAAACTGAAGACGAGGCCCGGACGGCGGGGGAGGGGAAGAGCGGGAAGTAGCAGGCACAGGCCCACCGCACACACGCACGCCTTCATACATTACTTGCCTTCGCTTTTCATATATATATATATATACATGTGCGCGTGTGTGTGTGTGTGTGTTGTGCGCGCATCCCTTTCCCTCCCGCTGCGATGTTCATTTTCCTTCCTCCCCTCCCCCGTCCTGCCGCCCGCAGGGCGCCTACTCTCACTCCCCGCCAAGACGAAAAACCCATGCGTTTTTAAATGCGCTGCCCGCTTTCTTGTTGTGGGGAAGTCGCGGAAGAAGGAAGGAAAGAAGCGGCAGTAAAGGGCGCGGGATAAAGAGGGAGAGTTGTAATCCTCACCCACTCCGCGAGGAAACAAATACAAAACGGAAAACAACAAGACCACAAACAACCGGGAATGCCTGAGGACAAGGCAGCATGTAACGCTGAATGAAAGAGTAGAGAAGCGAGAGAGGAAAAAAAAAAGAGGAGTAAAAAAAGGAAGAAAAAGCAAACGAGGCACAATCATGCCGGGGTGCTTGCGTGTCGCGGCGACACGTGTGCGTGTGGGACGGGGGGCGCCAGCAACGGTGCCTCATCTCCCCTCTAATTTCTTAGCCTTTTTGCCTTCTTCTTTGCGTGCGCGTTGTCTGCTTCCGGGCCGTCCACGTACGCCGCACGCGCCTGTGGCGGACGACGCGGAGTGCTCCGCGGCGTGTGCGTGCGACGGTGGAACCACACACGCCAGCTTCTTTCGCCGCACGCACACGCGCACGTCGCGGCGGCGGCGGCGGCAGCAGCGGCGGCTCCTCCCTCCCCTCTCCCCGGCAAACAAACTAAATACGGCGTGGAATACTCGTAAAGTGATAAAGGGACAAGGAAGAAAACGACGACAAGCACAATACCAGGGTGGAGCAAAGGAAAAAAAAGAAAAAAAAGTTGAATGTTTTACGCGAAGATACACATGGGGAGGCATAAGCCCTATTTATATTCGTCACCCAACTTAGAAGAAGGTAAAAAGAACGACACCAACAAACGAAGAATGATATATATTCAGTTCAGTAATGCGACGACGCTGCGGAGGACTCCCCTGGGCTGTATGCGCAGAGCGAAAAAGGGCTAGAGTGAGAGTGGTGCGGGGTCACAGCGCGTGCATGTGGCGGGGTGGTAGACGGATGGTGGCAGGATTTGAAAGCAAAGCGAGGCAGACTTCGTTGGTGCATTGTTGAAAATTTCTCTGGCTGCCTTTTTTTTTTTCTGCCTCCCTTTCCCCCGTCTTTTGTTTTTCTTTGCTTTTCTTGCCTTCTGTAGTGCATGGGAAAAAAGCCATCAAATGGGAGGATGCGTGGCGACGTTGATGGTGCGACGAGGTCGCGCGTGCGAGGTGCCGGATCGCTACATTGAGGAGCGCCGCCGCTACGGGCCCTTGGCCGTGGCGTGCGCCCCGCCGGAGGATGACGCCTCGTCCGCCGTGTACCGCGTTGCCGGGGTCACGGATGAGGAACACGGCCGGATTTGCAGGGAGTGGTACGAGGGGGAAAACATGTTGCAGCGGCTGGAGAAGGCCTGCGCGGAGCGGGGTGACCGGCGTGCGATCGCGTACCGCACCGTTCAGAAGGTTGAGACGGAGGAGCGAACGGACTCCACGGGGCGCGCGCGGAAGTGGCAGGTGACCTACCTCAACGATCCGACGTACATGAGCTACGGGGATCTCTGGGAGAGGATTATCGCCTTTGGCAAGGGGCTCCGCGAGTTGGGGCTGGCGGAAGGCGCCGCCATGGCCATCTATGAGGACTCGCGCTGGGAATGGCTGACCTCGCTGCTCGCTGCCTGGACACAGAGCATGGTCGGTGTGACGGTGTACGCAAACCTCGGTGAGGCAGCCTTGCTGCACGCGCTAATGCAGGCCGAGTGTCCTGCTATTGTATGTAATGGGAAATCGGTCACAACGCTGCTGCCCCTTCTGCGCAGGGCAAAACTGGACCGTACCGTCGTGATTTACCTCGACGTGCTTCCTGCCGGCCTCGATGCCGAGGGCATGAAGCTGGTTCCATGGAGCGCTGTTTTAAACGCGGGTCGTCAGAGTTCTTTTACCCACTGCGTACCGAGTGACTGCAATCGCACCGCGCTCATTATGTACACAAGCGGCACGGAGGCAGAGCCAAAGGGCGTCATTCACACCTTTGGCTCACTTAACGCCGGTGCAGCCGCTCTTGGCGATCGTTTAAGTGAGTTAACAGGACCGAAGGAGGAGGGGGAGACGTATCTTGTTTACCTGCCACTGGCCCACATTCTGGAGTTTATTTGCGAGATGATCATGCTAACCCGTGGGTCGCTCCTGTGCTACGGTAACCCCCGCACCCTCACCGACGTGAGCGCACGACCGCGGGGGGACTTGGCCGAATTTAAGCCCATGCTGTTCGTGGGTGTCCCACGCATCTTTGAGACCATACGAAAGACGGTGCTGAGCCAACTCCCGCCCGTGGGTAGTGTAAAGCGCTCTGTTTTTGACGCCGCCTACGCCGCGCGGTTGCAGGCGATACGGGAGGGAAGGGACACACCCTTCTTGAATGAAAAGGTGTTTAAGCTCCCGCGGGCCATGTTTGGGGGCAAAGTGCGAGGCATCGTCAGCGGTGGTGCCCCGCTTGGTGACAAGACGCAGGAGTTCATGAACGTCGTGTTCGGTATTCCCATGGCACAGGGGTATGGCCTGACGGAAACGTGTTGCAACGCGACGGTGCAGCGGACGGGTGAGTTGTACCCGGCCGCAGGTCAGTTATTGAAGGGCATTGAGGCGAAGCTGTGCGACACAGAGGAGTACAAGCACACAGACAAGCCTCACCCACGTGGTGTGCTTCTGCTGCGCGGCCCATCCCTTTTCAAGGGCTACCTGAAGCAGGAGAAGCTAACACATGAGCTGGTTAACGAGCAGAGTGGGTGGTTCCAAACGGGTGATGTGGTGGAGATCGACGATAGCGGGAATATGCGCATTATTGGCCGCGTGAAGGCGCTGGCAAAAAATCTATTGGGGGAATACATTCCCCTCGAGTTCCTGGAGGCCCTGTATGGGCAGCATGAGCTGGCGTGCCCGAACGGCGTCTGCGTGCTTGTCCACCCGCAGCGTGCGTACATCTGCGCCCTTGTCCTGACGGAGGAGCCGCGGGCAATGAAGTTTGCTGCCGCCAACAAAATCCCTGGCACCTGGCCGGAGGTGTTGCAGGAGCCGCTGTTTCAACAACGCGCGGCGGCGGCGCTCGCGGCGCTGGCGAAGGCGGAGGGACGTTGCCAGTTTGAGCTGCTGCGGCACGTGCGGGTGCTGGGCGAGGAGTGGACGCCGGAGAACGGGATCCTCACGGCGTCGATGAAGATTCGCCGCTCCGCCGTCGACACGCGCTACGCGGACGTCATTGAGGAGCTCTTTGTGAGCGAGTGACCGCCCGCCCACCCACCCACCCACCGGCGCCTCCAGCCAACCGGCGAGAGGGGGGCACTCGGCTGGGGAGCCGGCAAGACGGCAAACTGGAGTGAAATCGGCGATAATAGGTGGTTGGCAGGCGAGCCTGTAACGGGAGGATAAAAGGCAGCTGGAGGAAATAACGGAAGTCCACGACGTGGGGAAAAAGAAAGGCAGGAGAGATTTAATGAATGAAAAAAAAAAAAGAAAAAAAAAGAAAAAAAACAAACAAACAAACAAACAAACAAAAACGACCGGGTAGGGGGTAGAAGGGGGAAACGAAAAAAACGTAGGACAAGACGAAAAGGATAGATTAGACATGCATGCGTGTGTGCGTTTGGCTGAGAAGAGGGAA